TTGCCCTTTTCCCTCACCTATCTGGCATATTTTTTAGGGCTCTTAATCTTAATCTAAAGTTACTGAGCCAAAACACAAATTGTGGAATAATAATTTAAAAGGTTAATCCAGATCAGTCACAACTCTGTGGCCTGAAATTGTTTTTTTATCTCTCGTTATGAAACTGACTAATTATCTGAGTGAACATTGTCAGTGCCATCATGTCAGTCTATCCCAAAATATGTCATTTTGAGGTAAGTGCTCTTTACAGACTTTACATTACAAAAAAGTTGGAGTATACAATCTGCCAATTGTCACATTAGTTGTTTGAATCTGGATATTACATTTTCACAGATTTTTGGGCAGTTGGTAAAAAGGATTTTAATACTGTATAATTATTACAGTCACTATTATGGTAGTTAGCCTATACAGTGCGTCCCAAAAAAACACTATACACTTTTGAAATGGCTGCCAAATAAAAAAATATATGATTCTTGGGGAAAAGTTGTATATGTATGGAAAGCTCATAAACCCAACGTTCATATGACACCAAAAGGTCCGAAAATAATTCATGCTTGGGTGAGCACTGCTCACTTTTGTACAGGGTATATAAATTAGGTTGCGCAGGAATTAGCCTTCCAATTTGTTAGAGGTAAATCCTTTGGAGCTTACAAAATTGAGGGTGATATGATACATTCATGATTTGCTGAGTGAATTTCATGGTCTATTAACCAAACTTTTATGCATGAGTGAACAGGAATTGCATTTTTTATTGTAGCATTGTAACATTCCCTGGTAGACTCAGTGGTGTGTTCATGGGAGTCAGGATGGAGTGATGGTACATGTTGTAATTTCCGTGTTACAAACTGTTATTTCTTTTTTTACATCTGTGACTGTGAATAAAAACCTTCACCGAGATTGTGCATCGAAAGAGGAGGTGGACATATGGGCCATTGTTTCCATTTTCAGATATTTTCTCCCCTTTTTTCTCTTACAAGATGGACGAAACAGTTGTAAAATTGATAACTGACATGTTCATTTTACAAACTTGTGAATTTGTGTTTAACTGTACCGTATTTCTTGTGCGAAACTCAAGTGCTAAAATGACTGGTTGGTTGGTTGATAGATTGAGTGATTGACTGACTTATTGATTAATTATGATCGATTTATTGAATGATTAAATTGATTGAAATACTGAATGGTGATTGAATGCTTGATTGATTAATTGATTGACCGATTGACTGATACATTGTTGATTAAGTGATTGATAGCTGAATGTTGATTGTCTAATGAATTGTCAAGATATGCACAAGCATACCCGGGAGGAGAGAGAGAGAGAGAGAGAGAGAGAGAGAGAGAGAGAGAGAGAGAGAGAGAGAGAGAGAAAGAGAGAAGGTGGAGGGGCATACATGTCCTCTTGACCCTTATCCAATCTACCCAACAAAGTCCTACCCTACATTTCACCTCCCCTGTACCATGTACCATCACCCCGTCCTGACTCCCATGAAAACACCACTGAGTCTACCATGGAAAGTTACATTGCTATACGGTAATAACAAATGCAATTCCTGTTCACTCATGCATACAATTTTAATCCCATGAACCACAAATTTCACTTAGCAAACCCAAACTCATTACAATTGATCATAAATTGGTCATATTATTCTCAATTTCATAAGCTCCAAAGGATTTACCTGTCACAAATTGGAAGGCTAATTCCTGCGCAAACTAATTTTCATACCCTTTACAAAAGTGAGCAGTGCTCACCCAAGCATGAATTATTTTCGAACTTTTTGGTGTCATATGAAAGTTGGGTTTATGAGCTTTCCATACATATACAACTTTTCCCCAAAAAATATTATATTTTTGATACGGCAGCCATTTCAAAAGTGTATAGTTTTTTTTGAGACGCACTGTATATAACAAACAAAGATTGCAAATTTACACATGCCAAAACAATATACCGGTATGTAGAATAAAGTAAGGCTGGCTGGGACTAATCAAAAACATCAAACAGGAGGGTTGTCAAAGTAAGCAAAGCATGATAGCATGACTACCCTCAAAGGATACATAATAATACAAATGCAATATAGTCAAGACACAATCATGGATGCAGTATGTGCAGAAACTTTTGCCCTTTTCCCTCACCTATCTGGCATATTTTTTAGGGCTCTTAATCTTAATCTAAAGTTACTGAGCCAAAACACAAATTGTGGAATAATAATTTAAAAGGTTAATCCAGATCAGTCACAACTCTGTGGCCTGAAATTGTTTTTTTAATCTCTCGTTATGAAACTGACTAATTATCTGAGTGAACATTGTCAGTGCCATCATGTCAGTCTATCCCAAAATATGTCATTTTGTCAAAATATGTCAAAATATGTCATTTTGAGGTAAGTGCTCTTTACAGACATTACAAAAAAGTTGGAGTATACAATCTGCCAATTGTCACATTTGTTGTTTGAATCTGGATATTATATTTTCACAGATTTTTGGGCAGTTGGTAAGGATTTATACTGTATAATTATTACAGTCACTATTATGGTAGTTAGCCTATATTGCACAGACTTATTTTACTTTAAATAAGCTGTGTTCAAGATTTTTTCTTCTGTTGCTTTTTTCGCTGCTACGCTGCTTGAGTAACATTGTAGTTGTTCTGTTCAATCTGCCTCTCTCTGTCTTTTCTGTATGTGGACGTGTGAAGGTGTTATGGTCAAGTGGTTCACTCACTTGACTCTCAATCCAAGGTTTGGGGGTTCAAACCTTGGTCGGGCACTAACGTCCTTGGTAAGACATTGATCCACATATGCCACTCTCCATCCAGGTGTACATGGGTACCTGGCAATCGCCATGGTAACAATAATTACAGGGCCCTCGGGAGAACAGAGTTGAAGCTGATGAGGCTTCCCTTGGTAAACAAAATGTCAACAAAATGTTTTGTTACTGTTCCATACTGAGATTTGAGAATATAATAGAAGCTGTCATTCAAAATGCTGATATTTAAGTGGCAATTTCTATGATATTGATTTGGGAATTTCCTAAACAAATTCTTGTATCCAGATAGTGTTCTTGAAAAATATGGCAGCTGTGGTCTTAAAGTGTACCAATCACCAAAACATTTTTTGCTCTTGATGAAAGAGATCCCATGTGGCTATAATGTTCATATTCATAATATGAGCTTCAAATATTATTTCTACAGAGATATAATTTGAATACATTCTCTGTAAACAGTCAAACCTCTGGTTGAGTCGACTATTTAGCGCACTCGTACTCATCATGTAGAATAAGGCTCGTACGAAACCAAAGTCGGACTCTGGTTCCGTGTGAGCCCTATGCGTGGGGTTTAATGTTATCCTTTATTTTCTTCACAATCCTTAACCGTTTAACCATAGAATGCCAGGTAAAGTTATTTTGAGGTTGATGTTAAATATTCTAGCTATACATGAATTAATTTTTCATGTGATTGGTACGCTTTAATGCTATTGATCACACTATACAATATAGATACTATATCTCATGACAAGAACCTGGGCAATCGATTGGTCCATTGTGCATCATGAAATGAATCTATTATCATCAGGGTTAACAGGTGGTATCACAATCCGTATATAGAAGTACTATACATGACCAGGTCTGTTTATAGTTGAATAAAACAGGAAAACAAAGGTTCTTGTAGCCTTGAGAATGAAGAACATGTGTTTGTAATCATAATACTCTTTTTTTATCATCCAATTGTTTTGTGCTACCTTATTGATCATTACCTAAATATGATGTTTGACAATTCAAATACATGACATTGATACATTGTCGAACCTGACCACACAGAGAGGATATGCTTGTGCTTGTGTATATGCAGACAAGATAGAGACCTTCAACTTTTGAGTCCTATCAGAAGGACTGGGTGATCAGGGATCGTTACCTTACAAGGATGCTATTGCAGACACGGTTTTAACCTTGGAATTTATGTTTTTAAAGCCCATCAATACTAGTGAACAGGAGAGATTAGACTACCCTGCAAGGTCACTGGACAGGTGGTTATCTCATCAATCTCATCAGCTCTCAATTAACATAAGAAAAAGAGGATCATGGGGGACCAATGGTCACCGAGTATGCATTTTTTGTTATATAGAGGGAGCAAGTAGCTATAAGTAGTGCAGTGTGGATTTTAGACCACTGCTCTGTCCACTAAAACACAAAGCGGTGAGGCAATTTTTTTTTTTTGGTGCTATTTTGAACCCCCGTTAGAGATGTTTTCCTGGCATCTAATGACATCTACTAATACTGTGTAGGTCTGGACACAATGATAGCATTTTTCTATGCACATCACATTTTCCCTTGGCAGCCCAAGGGGGGAGGGTGGGGGGGGGGGAGGGTTACCCCCTAAACCACCTAGATCCTCCCCTGCAACATCTTTGGTCTTCTTCTTCTTCTCAATATTGATTTACTGGTCGAGTTACATTATTTGCTGGTCTTTTAGAATCACCAGATTTCAGAGGATTCACACTTTTCACATTGAAAAACTTCTCCATGTGGCAGCCCTTGCCCGATCGTCTCCAGCTCCAGCAGATATTGGGCGTCAGCGTGCACACCGGTACCAGCGGCGCAGTCTAGCCACTGCTGACGGCCGCACTATATTAGCTGCACTGCGAGCTTCCATTGTTTGTATCGGTAATTCTCATAGAGATGGGAGAGATAGCACTATCTAAGTTCCATTTCATTGGTTTAAGGTTTGAAAATTGATACTCAATATTGTGTTTAAGTTATATCAGAAAAGATAATCTTTATTTTATAATTCCACGGGGGCGATTTTTAATTTTGCAATCGCCCCCGTGAGCAACCTGACGGGGGCCATTATGGAGCTCACGGGGGCGAATCGCCCAACGCCCCATTGCATTTTGAGCGCTGCTACCTGATCATTTCCTTGGTTTTTTTTTTTTTTTAATCCACCTATGTTTCAGATTGTGTAAACTTATAGATATAATGACATTTATTCTCTCTCTCTCTCTTTTTTTATTTTTAAGGATTCCCTTAGCCCAGGGAGGCTATCCCAGGAAATGAGCACAGAGGAAACGACAACAAAGAAGAGAAAACTTAGGTTCAGTTTGGCCAAGATGGTGGATATGAAGAAAAAAACGGTGAGTTGTTCAATTGAATTTGATTTAGTTCAATTCGAGTCAGTTCAGATCAATTTAATTCACTTTAATTAAAATAAACTTGGACATTTGAATCCAAATTCAACTCTATTAATTCTTTAAGCAACCTTTTAAATCCAAAATGTAAAATGTGTAGGTTGCAGTCTTAGAAGATTCATACTTTCAAAATACCAGGCAGCAATATGGTAGCAAGCTGTTTTTAAGTTTGTGATGATTATCTCCTGATGTTGCACAAACTTAAAGCATTCGTTGACAGGTTTTGTTACGCCCTTGTACATTGAACATTGATACTGGATATTTTCATAGTGCTCATACATGTATCTACCATGCAATGTGCTCAAGGCACTCCAATATTACCCTGACTCTAGCTAAGCTTTCAATTTCTGTGCTCACAGCATTCAAGGAATCCCCAATAACACCTGGGGATTGTTTCACAAAGACTAAGATCGACTCTAAGTTAAACTTAACTATGGAAGGCTGTTCATGCCACTGTTTTGTTTGCTCACTATTATAGTCCCTATTTCCACGAAGTGAAGGTAGTGAGGAAAATCGTCACGCAAATTGTATGCGATTTTCCTCACTACTGTCACTTCGTGAAAATAGGGACGTTATGATCTATAGATAATATTTTTCCTTCAATAATGAATTATCAAAAATTTGTAAATTCTGTAGATTTGTGACCACGATTTGTAGGTACCTTGAGAGACCAATGCTAGTAAATGGTGAGAGCAACCAGTGGCATGAATGGTCTGCCATAGTTAAGTCCAACTTAAAGTCGATCTTAATCTTTGTGAAACAACCCCCTGGGCAGAGAGTGGCAAATGTGGATTAATGTCTCACCTAAGGACACAAGTGCCACATTGGGGCTCTAACCCACGACCTTTGCTTTTTCCAGTCAAGTATTTAAATCACTCAACTACAACACTTCTACACCAGGTAAAAAAGTTGGACAAATAATAAACTGAAGTCTTATTTCTTCCATTTTGTCCTCGAAACAGGAGAAATTTGAAGCGACATTCAAACGTCTCAAGCAGGATGTGAGCCAGGGAGGGTTTGCTAGACAGATGGAGGAACAACAGGAGACTGGAGACGGTGACCATGACAACGGCTCAGATGAACCGGAGGAAAACCAAGCCATCCTCGAAAGGGTAAGAGATGGATCTGCTTTGAAAGACTACTGATTTAAATCACTGTTAATACCGCCTACATTATTTTATCCAGGAGGGATTAGACCTCCTGCAAGGTCACTGACAGGTGGTTATCTCATCAAATCAGCTCTCAATTAACATAAGAAAAAGAGGATCATGGGGTACCAACAGGCACCGATTAGGCATTGTTTGCTATATAATTTTATCGGAGCTCCTTCACAAGTTTGAATCTGTAAATAAACTTATTATTTTACTTGAGTATTTTTTTCTTCATTTAGAGCTGTTATTGAACTTTCTAGAGCAAATTCAATTCTTACAGTGATAAAGGTTATACAAATTATTATTGTATACATGTATTGTTGCATTTGAAGATGGCATTTGTGTAATTCAGCTATACTGCCAATCTTCACTTTCACTTTGTGGTCATTGGTGAGTAGATTGATAGCTGGTTTGGTTAATTCTGAAGAATTACAAAAAGAAAATCATGGAAATATATTTCTCAGGACTCTTTAGGATGTTCCGCATATGGCATTTCTATTTTTTCCATTTTTTTTTCTTCATTTGGTTGGTGGGTTGTTGTTTTACCCGGTGATGTTTATTTTAAATATTTGACATTTTCTCTCTTGTTTGATGATGATTTCACAGTACGGTGTCTCTGAAGAGCAGAAGATACCCAAAGTCCATCCTGGGGAAGACATCTTTGATCAGTCAAAACTCAGACAGGTAGGATCAACATAACATGTGTCACCTTAAGAACAAAATTGTTAAGTTCTAGTAAAATGTGAAAAAATGTATTTTGAACGTTCTCATTCTTTCTTTATGAAAGGATCTTATGGTATGTGATACAGATCTCTGTTTCGTGATACTATGTGAAAATTTAAAATTCCATAACTTTCTTATTTTTTGTCAGGATGCAGGTTCATGATAGAAGTGTGTCAATTTAAAAAACATGTGATCTGCCTTATTGGCAAAATTAAGTATTTTCAGAGCTGCCAACCAGTATGATTTTTCCTAACTATAATACAATTTTCACAAAACAAAAACAAAAAAAAACAAATTGAATCTGCCTTTGTGTATTTTGGGTGTGTGTGTGTGTGTGTGCCATTTTCAATGGCAAATTGCCCATTCTCTCCTGTAAAGTATCCTACATGCATCTCACATCGGCAATTTGGGGATGTTCATTGGTTCATCGAACACACCAGCCATGACGAAATCATGCTTATCAACCAATGGTCCATAACAACTATATTTACATGCCTCTCCCTCATTGGATCATTGAACGATAATTCATGACAAACTCTTGCATATTCAACAAAATGTTTGTAAAATGTACTAATGCATAATTCTTCAAAATGTCAACGAACACAGTCTAACAAAAAGAAAGTACTTATCGATCAAAAATAGGATTTTTTTTTTTGGGGGGGGGGGGGGAACAATAGGATTTTTGTTCAGTTGGGGTGGCAGCTCTGTATTTTGTATGATAATAATCCTGGAGACATCACATCTAGCTTTCATAAAACTCAATACATTATACATTATATTCTGCTTATGAATAGATCTTCAACTACAATGACCACATGGCCTCATTGGCAGGTTGTGGGTTCAAGCCTGATAAACCCAGTGCCCTGGAAAGTCTTATGCTGAAAGCAACACCAGGTAAGGCATATGATATCCTTCTTTCCTTTTCCCTAATATACAGAGTTGATATAAATCGCAACTATGTACATAAGAGATAGGGGACTGCAAAGTTAGTCCTCCCATCAATCGATCGATCGTAACTCTTTATAAGATGGGGGCACAGTTCAGGCCTAGATTCTTTTGATCCAAAATATGTGATATAGTCCTATGGTTAAATCTGAAAAGTTTCTATGATTCCTCCTATTAGTTTATATATGTAGAAATGCTATACCTCTTTTTGTTTTGAATAGTAATCATTCAATGTGATACATTTTTAAAAATCTATTTTGTACAATTCTGTGTTTGAATAGTAATCATTCAATGTGATACATTTTTTTAAATCTATTTTGTACAATTCTGTGTTTCTATAAACAGTCAATCGACAAAATTTCTGTTTTAATTATTCAACTGCAGAAAATATTTGAAGGTTGATGAATCATTATGACACATGCCAAAACTCTTTATTTCTTCTAAGATAAGAGAAGGAGATTCATTTCATTTAGTCTTAAGTATTCATTAGTATACGCGTACATTACCCTCACAAAACAAACTTCCATCCTTAAAGATGAAGTTGAGTTCTGGTCATGCGATTGCATTGTGAAAGAAACGGTGTGGAACCGACCAGAAAAGGTTGATCATCTAGCATATAAGAATTTGTGTGTATTGCAAGGTTCTGGAATCATCAAAATGATAAGAAATTTGGCCAAGTCTTGGTAAAGTTACAAACACTTGCACAGAGAGATGTATATGGGACTACACGAACACGTGGCGTAAAAAGCCGGCCCCCCCCCCCCCCCCCCCCCCCGATTTTTACGATGTTACATGCATATTTAGAATATGAAGGCATTTGAAGAGCCATGCTTTTCAGGGAACATGTCTTAACTGATGTTCTTCCACACTTGCATAATAAGAATGAGTAATGCTCACAAATTATTTTTCACCTCTTCCCAGAACTCAACCTTCTCTTTAAATTGTTTGCTGAGTATCTCAAATACATTGTATTGTGTACCTAGATCCATTCTTCTGAATGACAATTTACTTTTGTTTTTGTTTGTTTTTCAGATGAAATGGTTGAAATGTTGAGAACCTTTGCTGTAGAGATGGCATATCATTCCAAGCCTTGTCCGCCTGCCTTCATGCTTTGGCTCTTCAGACTCAGTAAGTACAATATTTGTAAATAAACTGTATAAACTGTATTATCATGTAAATAGCGCTCGATTAGATGTAAATTGCGGTTAACATACACACGCTCATAGTTTGCAAGAATCTTTAGCCAATTGAAGGAGGCAGATTAAATCAGAAGAAGAAGAAGTAGAAGAAATTTTATTCCTCTTCACTGGAATTATACAAGAATGGTTTGGGATGATATACAGAGATGTTGGGTTTATATAGAAAAGGGAATTCAAAGGGAACAAAATGAGAATGGAAAATTAAAAGGAAAGATATTACTGACATGTAGGTAATTGAGAATGTAAACAGATCAAACTGTTTATGACTGACTTCTCTTATTATTATGAATACATGTTTAGGGACCACTTGATGAATCATCTATCTCAGTATCTGTGCATAGTTATAGAGTACCGAAGTGGTAACGTCATATCCGCTCGTCATCCACATGCCCTTTTTTTTTAATCTTGCAGTTCAGTGTCTTTCCATACAGATTGCAATGGTTGGCATACAGTACACTTATAAAACACTAATTTTTCCTCTCTCTCTCTCTCTTTTAATCTTGTATTCCAGTGTCTGTGCACACAGATTGTAACGTAGTGAACAAGGCTTACCAGACCATGTGGTCCATACTCAACTCGTGGCCAATCCAGCATCCTACTGTCGTGCCTTGGGCGCCATCTGTGGCCGAAATCACTCAGATCTTGGTCAACTACGGTAAGCTTTTATATTTTTCCTTTACACTCTTCTAATTTCTGATCTGTTTATGTCCTGCATTTTTATTCTTTTTTATATTAGTTCATTATTTGACTTTTGTTTTTCCATGAAAAATTGAAATTAGTTCATCATTTGTCTTTTCTTTTTTTTCCAACTTCCTTTGTTATTATAATTAGTTTTTGTGGCATCGTATTTGATCATCAAAAGATTTGTTCATCTCTCTAGCTGTGTATACAAAAAAATTGTCATACTTATAATCATGTCACTAATTTAGATATGTTGTTTTGTGATTGGTATGACAGACTAAGTTTTGTATCGTTGACATAAATGTTCCCACAAATGTAGACATTTCTGCTTGTTCAATGCATGTCATTGTATTCAAATGTACCAATCATTTCCAATTTTTTTAATTCCTGTGATTTTCTATAGGTGCATCATTCAATGACCTGCTACCACCTGGCCTTGTAAATCCAGAATTTGATGAAACTTCCATCAGGTATTTAAGCATCATTTCCGCTCTTACCAATCTTATTTCATTTTTAAGGAGGATTACTAACAAAAATAAACTCAATAATACCATCCTTTGAAATTTCACTTTAATTAACTTTTATCATGATGAATTGTTGTTATTGATTTGCCCACATCTGTGCGATTTAATTCAAATGGTAGTATTGAGTTATTGAAATCATTGGCTGAATTGGAATCCTCATTTCGCCACTAATTGAAGCTCACTTTAGAGGAACAAGTGTCTCCACATTAACTCGAAGTACCAAGACATTTTCATAGTTGCATGGGTTGATCTAACAATTCTGTAATGTTGAATTCAACGTAAAGGCTGTCAATTCTCAGCATTATTATGGCACTTTGGGAATAGAAAAAGGGCAGTTCAAACCCCCCCCCCCCAAAAAAAAAAGGGGGGCCATACGATGCAAGTTTCATACATGTATATTTCCAGATCATTTAAGGACCTTATTTGAAGTAATGGCATACATACTGATGTGAATATGACAGTTAATGAATTTACAAATGAGCAGTAAAATTGAATTTTGTTTAAAATAATGATAAATTGTTTTCAATATTGTTGCATAGCTAGAGCATACATGTAGAGGCATTGTTTTATCAAGGTAGTTGCACATACTTTAATTAATCCTAATGAGATTGTGAATCCATTTGGTACACTGTAGACATTCTCCATATTTTTTTGGTGATTTTTTTTAAAATTTTGGCTTTTTGATATTTGACTATTTGACAGACCACCAATGGGAGAAGACAAGTCCGGCCAACAGAAGGAGAGAGTTCAACCCTCTGCAGCTGATCTTACAGATCCGGTGAAGGCACGTTACCATGGTAACAACCTTATGAAGGTCATCAAGATCTTGACCCTAGCCCTCATCACCAGGAAAACAGTTGACAGGTAAAACTGCTCTCCAAAGGACTAATAATCATAATAATATGCCCATTTATATTTTGATGCTACCATGCAAATATACTCTACTGCGCTGAAAGAGAAGGTTGAGTTCTGGGAAGAGGTGAAAATAATTTGTGAGCATTATCATTGTATTATGTAATTGTGGAAGAACATGAGATAAAAAATGTTCCCTGAAAAGCATGGCTCTTCAAATGCCTTAATATTCTAAATATGGCATTTTTACGTCATATGTTTGTGTAGTCCCATATACATATACATACTTTACCAAGACTGGGCCAAAATCCTTATCATGTTGATGATTCCAGAACCTTGCAGTACACACCAATACTGACATGCTAGATGATTAACCTTTTCTGATCGATTTCAGACTGTTCTTTCACAATGCAACTGCATGACCAGAACTCAACTTTATCTTTAATGCAAAGTGTTATATTATTGGCCCAGATTTAGCTGAGCCGCCATGATAAGGCACTGAAGCATTCAAGGAATCGCTTCCTACCAGTTACCCATTTACTTCACCTGGGTGGAGTGTGGCAAATGTAGATTAATGTCTTGCCAAAGGACATCAGTTCCACTATGGGACTCGAACCCTGTGCAATGTGATCCACAGTCTGGTGATGTATCCACTAGAAAACGACACACCTGTAAATTCAGGAACAAGAACTTTAGTAAATTGCAAAAAATCAGTGCTGTACATATCAGTTGTGATTCAACTATTTTGCGGCCTGAAACTTTCAGGAATATGAACCACTTGTGAAAGACATGTTCAAGTTTTAAGCTCATGAAAAGTTCTTGATTCTATAGTATTTTAGGTTTTTAACATGATGGTGTACACACACCAGAGTATGCATTTTGTCTTCAAAGGATTTAAAGGCTGCTTTATGTTATCTAAATGAAATATGTGATTTAAAAGTACCTTTTACAATCGTCTTAAGAAACTCAATATCTTGTGGACATCCACCTCCAACAAACGGACAAACAAATATTCATTTGATTTTACCTGTAATATGCCTTAGACATCTGAATGTGAAAGAAACTCTTTCATATTTGTTTTAAATGCACTGTTCATGTTAAATACCAATTTTAGAGATTGCTGATAACCTTAAATTGTTCTCACACACCACTGTTGTTCTTTTGATTACTATAGGTTCCCTTATACAGAGGAAGAAGTTTGCTGCCTAGCCGTTCTCGTTTGCAAAGCATCTCTTGAGAAATACTTCATCATGTAAGATCACAACTATTATCCGACTCTCCCTTCATAAATATTGTATCAAGATTAAGTTGAAGTTTACCAATCACCTGAAGAAAAAAAAATGTGTGTATAGGTAGAATGTATAAAATCAACCTTTAAAAAAAAAAACTAGCATTCTGTAGGTTAAACTGTTATGGAGTATGAAGAAAATAGACAATAACGTCAATTCGTGCAAAGGGAACCCAAGCTCGACTTGGGTTATGCGTGGGCCCTATTCTATGCGAGCTACGTTGTGTGCGCCCATTAGTCTACAAAACAAGTTCTTTTGTATATTGAGAGTGTATTTACACTGCTATACAACTAATTGTAGAAGTGAATTTTGAAGCTCTTATTTTGAATACGGTACAGTGAACTTATCTCCACTCAGGCACGGATGAAGCCTGATGAACATGGAGGGTGATAATAATGTCATTATTCTCTACATTTCCTGTCAATGCACAACGATGTTCACAAAGTTCTACATATGCCTGCATTATGAATGTTCGAGACTGATCTAATACAGACTCCTTTCTTTGTTCTCTTTGCAGGAAAGCTGTAGAGAATGATTTCACTCTATGTCTGTTAGCCCTGTTTGAATGTGTACCTGAACCTGCATGGGAGGCTCAGGTGAGTTTAACAGTTTAACACTCAAGTTTTTATGCCTTTCATATGTAGGGCTACTCTATCATACTTTGTTCCCTGCCAACCCTTCCTAATTATCCAGAATATTCTGATTTTTCAAAATTCTGAAAATCAATTTATAACAAAAAATTTTAACCCAAATTTTGTTTGTTTCATCATATGCTCTGATGTAAGAGTTTGCGTAATGCGTGCGTTGAATGGCTGCACAATCGAGCAGTGATTTGTATTCGCTTTTTTATGTGAAGATTAACCGCGTATTGCCTGTAACAGTGCTGCTTCATACATAGCAATGATAAGGCCGTGCAAACCCTGCTAGAAATTCTTATTTTCAAATGTTGGCAGGTATGCTCTATTCCTATACTTTAATTCTCTTTTTTTTTTTAAAGGAATTTTTATATCTTTTGGTCGTAACACATGTTTAGCAAGATAAATTGTTATTTTTTGCTACTTGCATTGGTATTTAGTATTTTAGAATATTTAGTATGTTTGTTTTGTATCACTTGAAGAATATATGTTAATTGAATGGTATAGGTATGGTAATGTCTCAAATCAGTCTTCTCACTTTTTAGTTAATTTAATTTGCTAAAAAGTTCTAGCTTTAGATAGTCTTATTTAAAATAGCATCAAAAGTAGACATACACAATCTTTTGTCTTACTCGGATAGGTGCAAGAAGAAAGCTTAGGTATACCTCTAAACTATAGTCTTATTCATATTTTTTAATTTTTTTTATTCACTCACATTGGTGAGAGGGTGGAGTTGGAGGTGACAGGTATGATAACAAGCCAAATTGTATATCACCTGGACCACAAATCTTGATGGTACATATCTTCATATTTTACTGAGATAACTCATTTCTTCATAGACAGAAATTTTTTTTTTAGAGGGTTTTGTAATGGGGGGGGGGGGCATACAAATAAATCAGAAACATTTTTCTCTAATGATTGTGAAATTTTTGTGAAATATCCTTTCTGTGTAGAAAGTATTTTTATTGATGCATGCCTTATAAATGCTTTACATTATCATTACGGCGTGTTGTATTGTCTTTGTTACAGGCTGAACGTTTGTGCCATGTCTTACCTCATGTCGCCGCCCACCATCACAACCTAGTCTACATCACACATCTCATACCTGGCTGTACTGAGAGAGGGAGATACATGTCAAGACAACTAGCGTAAGTTACTCTGCCATCCCTTCTGGGGGGGGGGGGGGGGTGTTTCACAAAGATCGTAAGTTGAACTTATCTCTAAGTTGGACTTAACAATTATAGAAAGCCGTTAGCATCTTTCAAGCAGATATCATGTTTTGGATGGGGAATTTATGAAAAGTATTAAATACTTGAAATTTCTCCTTTGAATATATTTTATTTTAAGGCTACAAATGGCCCTCCATAATGTTAAAGTCCATCTTAGACTTAAGTTTGACTTACGATCTTTGTGAAGCAACCCCCTGTGCCATGTGATATAAAAAGTTGCAATTAATTGTATCTTCCCAAAGTTGATTGCCTTTCCTTCAATCAATTGTAACTTTACAATACATAGTAACTTACAATTAATTTTATGTTACAGATATATACGATGCATGGTGAATTACTCTCACATTAGGTGTTGTTATAGCTAAAACCTATATCCAAGGTAGTTTCCATCAATTCTGAATTGAATCGTTCAAAAATGTAAATGAATAATGTATTACAAATGAAGATTCACCAGTCAAGACAACTGCCATAAGATATTCTACCATCACTTCTTGTAATAATAGCTTGTCAGATAAAATCCTCCAAACTTATTTACAGATGTGCCAAAATCTTTAATGAATAATATCTATCAAAAAATTAGAAATTGTTCACCTAATACTTGGTTGCATTGAAAAAGGAAAATTTGAGTTATACATGTCTGTCAAGATAACTAGTGTAAATAACGATATCATCACTTCTTATATTGATAGAATTTCAAATACAATGCATTGTGCCAGAAATTGTAATATTTTCAAATATAAAATGTGGAATTATCTTCCTGAGAGAACATAATGTATATTTGTAATTACTGAAGAAAGTTAGAAACCAGAACTGATGTTGTTTCTCATGTATTTTCCCTTCCCTTGTATTCTGATGCTTTTAATACAAAACTATTGAATTTATGACAATTTTTTATATGATTGAAATATGCAGGTCCAAATGATAAAAATTAGCACTGTATAAATTCAGAATTGTGCCGTCAGTGATATTTACGTGCAATATTTTAAGTTTTAGGGTAAGATAGTGCCACCCAAGCCTAGAATCATAAGGTATGATGTGAATTTTCTTCTAATATTTACAGGTACATGTGTCTGAAGAAGCTTTCACCTACCGGTAATAATGAACCAGAGCAGAATAACAATGGATTCCACCCAGAACTCAAGGTATGTATCATTACTCCATCAATCTGTCAAAGAACGCTTGATTCAAGAAGAAAGTACCGTAAATCTCTGTGTATAAGATGCAAAAAAACAAAACTCCCTCCCCTTCAAATAAGGAACGTAGGGTAGCTTCAAATAATAGATCCTTTTGTTTATTTGCATTATTTTATTTATGTTGAGACATAGATATTTTCAAATACCACTAAAAAGTAGCATTTTGAGTACTCAAAATATCCTGTACCTGTGTATAAGACGGACCCCCGACTTTTGAATTTAACCGGCGGAAAAAGTGTGTCTTATACACAGAGATTTACGGTATTACATATGAGGGGGGAATGATAGTAGAACTGTCTTGGTGGTGTTTGAGATTATGTCAGTGTTATATTTTAATGGTTGGACACTTTTTTTTAATGTTAAACATTCCCTTTAATATCCTTCTGAAGTTTATTTTTATGGTAGGCACATATCACTCTAGTTTTGTTTTCACTGGGTCAGTGTGTCACAAAGTTATTGAATTTTAGCAAGTGGCATAATTTAAGTGTTATTTGATTCTATCAAGATAGATTTCAATATGTGTCCTTGATTTAGTGCCTATCTTAATAGAGACAAATTCTGCAAGACTAAGCCTAAGTGCTATCCCATTTGATCGTAGGTGCAATACATTCTGGACGTAGTCCCTGCCACCAGACCTTCTAAAGACACGGACTACTACAAGCTTCACAGCAGGATCCAGATCCTGGACCTGGCCATCGGGAACGAGCGCCTGGACAAGTCTGAGAAGGAATCCCTCCAGTCACTGAACAACAAACTCAACGTGTTTGTCAAAAACATCAGGGAGAAGGTCTCCAACATCAGCAGGTCGCAGGTCAAAGATCTCATCGGCAGGATGACCCTTCGGTTGACACTCATGGACCAGTCTATAGTCTCTGACCAGGTAAAGATAAAAGACTTTACTAAAGTTTTGATATTGCTTAAGGCATTTTTTTAAAGATCAGCAGGTCAAAGGTCAAGGATCTCATCGGCAGGATGACCCTTAGGTTGACACTCATGGATGAGTCTATAGTCTCTGACCAGTTAAAAAAATAAAGACTGTACTAAAGATAAGATGAGCTTATCAGAGAGTAGGTTTTTGAAGATCAGCAGGTCAAAGGTCAAAGATCTCATCGGCAGGATGACCCTTAAGGTTGACACTCATGGATCAGTCTATAGTCTCTGACCAGGTAAAGAAAGAAAGACTTTACTAAAGATATGATGGTGTTAAAGCTTATCAGAGAGTAGATTTTTTTAAGATGAGCAGGTCAAAGGTCAAAGATCTCATCTGCAGGATGACCCTTAGGTTGACACTCATGGATCAGTCTATACTCTCTGACCAGGTAAAGAAAAAAGACTTAATTAGAGATAAGATGAGAGTAGGTTTTTTTTAGATCACAGGTCAAAGATCAAAGATCTCATCGGTTGACACTCACGGATCAGTGTATAGTCTCTGATCAGGTAAAGAAAAAAGACTTTAGACTAAAGACATGATGTTAAAATGTTTTTATGAATTGGGAAGTTTCATGATAAAATTGATATTTCATTTGTACCCCCACATCCATACCACAACCCTCCAGGTCAATATATTCAATCGCATGCTGCCTCTGACCGGGATCAAGGAGGAGAATATAGAGGAACACTTCCCCCAGTCCCAGGAGGATGCAGTCTCAACGAGCTCGGAGGAGGAAGGAGAAGATAAGTCAGACGACATGGATGAAGATGACGAGGAGGAGGGGGAAGATCACACCCCGGCGGATGTAGGACATTCACCTGAGAAGACGTGAAAGATGGGGATGAAATAGAGAGCTTCGGTGCTCAAGGAGGACCTGCTCGTAAGAACACTTTGTGAGATATTTTGTAGAGCAAGCGCCGTTATCATCATGCAGCACTGGCCCATGCTAGTGCTGTATAGAAAGGACCTACTCGTAAGAAACTTTTGTGAGATATTTCGTAGAGCAAGCGCCGTTATCATCATGCAGCACTGGCCCATGCTAGTGCTGTATAGAAAGAACCTACTTGTAAGAAACTTCTGTGAGATATTTTGTAGAGCAAGCGCCGTTATCATCATGCAACACTGGCCTGTGCTAGTGCTGTATTGAAAGGCACAGTCGTCAACATTCAACATTTTCATTCTCAACCATAATTCAAGTTGTGTCTGAGCTATTCGTCATAGTATTTGGTTGAAATTGCTCCGTAATATGACTCAGATTGCACCAAAGATCATCTAGAAATACCAGTGCTTCCAGGGCCCTAATAAGCTGGCTCTGGAACTGGATCCTAGTCGCAAGGGAACCTTTGTTTGTGGAATCTTGCAATAGTAAGGATGATATGGATGTGTGTGGAAGTCTTGAAGTGCCCCAAATGAAGAAAAGTTGTAAGCTACATAAGAAAGAAAGCAAACTCAGTCTAATGTAAGTGATGATGCAGTTGACATTGTGCATATACTTTGAATAAAATAAGTAAAGAGAGATATTTTGATCATAATTTATTTATGATAAAAACTTGAATACTTTTTCACAAGTGCAATTATTGATTTGTAGCTACTTTGTGTTGTAAATACAAGAAAAGTTGTAAAGTCATTGCATAAATGTAACTTTTGGGAAATGTGTGTGTCTTTATGAGGAAAAGGTAAGATGTCAATTTACATGTAAGATACTGTACCTGAGTATCAATACTGCATTGTAAATATTGTAATTTCTGCTCCCTTCAGAATGATAAAAACGTGTGTATAGACACTCAAATTAGGGCTTTAAATTTTGTTTCATGCATCACAGTAACAGGCAAAGTGAAAACAATACATACAGTTTATCAAATGCTTGGGTTAACTCGTACTTTTACAAAGAGTTAATGCCCTTAGACGTGTCGTGGTCGAGTGGATACGTCGCTGGACAGTGAATCACAAGGTCAACGGATCGAGTCCCGCCGCGGCACTAATGTCCTTCGGCAAGACATTGATCTATATTTGCCACACTCAACCCAGGTGATGTAAATGGGTACCTGGCAGGAATTAATTCCTTGAAATGCTAGAGCACTGTAATGGCAGCCATGCTAAAGCAGGGGTAATGATTGTGGAGTGCCAGGAGTGTCGAATCTGACAGATACGAGCGCTAAACAAGAACCCACTATTATCAATATTATTATATTTTGACTACTTTGCTCATGAGAATATTGACCGTGCAACTACCTTCTAAAAAGTATTAGAAATGCTGATGGAGCGGTTAATTCATCACAGCGCTTTCTTCAACACCAATGGTATTTTCTACAAAATTATGGAGAGAAACACAAAAAAGCTTAGAAATCTAATAAAAGATTTCCTTAGCTGTTTTAACCCGTTGACTCCTAAATTCTCTCATTCCCATAGATATAATACAGGAGTCACTCGGTTCCCGTTGGCAATGGGTTAATAGTATCTTGTGGAATGGCATGATTATTCATGTAGCAAAGAAGAAACAAACGTCACATTTCTTTTGATGCGTTATGAACACCACCTTGTAAAAACTCTGTAAATATGTTCATATACAAATGTATCAAAAGAGCTGAAATATCAAATCATATATAACAGGTGCCTATACTGTGTATATACATGTAGACAAGCAATGCTTTACATTATTTTTTCAATCAAATGCATGTGGTGTTTTGTTCTTTTTAATTACCAATGTCAAACTCACAAAACGACTGATCTATCCATTATAGAAAGTGTCAGATAAATAATGAAGATGGAAAAGGGCCATGTTTCATAAAACTTGTTATCAATAAAAAAAAATGGCAGTAACTGTTGTAAGCTACTGAAATCCTTGCATTTGATTGGCTGAGAGCATATTTGTAAAATACAGAAAAGTGACACTTGTCAGTGATAACAAGTTTTAAGAAACCGGGTCCGGAACCAGTAGTTAACAAGCATGGTCATTTCATTATTTATACTTGTAAACTCGCCAGTTGCATTTAGTTGATGTCACACGTAGTCCTGATAAATGTATTGAAGACTGTACATTGTTGATGCATCGTCACCTCGCACCTAACAGGGCGTTATAGAGTGGTGAAGTGTGACATCATCAAAATCTATTTTTAAAATTTCTCAATTTTTTCTTAATTTTCCAAAAGAGCAATAAAAATAGTGTCTGAATGTTGAAAACCAATTGAATGTGTTAAGTATTGGCTGAGATATGACCATCTGAATAAATAGACATCCTATGGGAACACAGTGTTATAGTGCTCTGGTTCATAACATTCGGAAGACAAAAATTGAGAAATTCTAAAAATAGATTTGTATGATGTCACAGCTTAGGTACTCTATAGCCATTGACAACACATGGTGGTAGTGTTTTTTTGTTGCAGTAAGCCGACCGTACGCATACTGCAGCATTTTGCAGGGCATGGTATGCTCGTGTAGCAATCGTGTAGAGCAGGAGGCGGTACTATTCACAGGTTGCGGACTTCATTTTTAGTCCACTTGGCCTCCAGAAACTGGTGATGTGGCATTTGCTCCGGCGACAATTGCTCCAGGCTTTGTTACATTTATGTCAAAGGTGTATGGTTAGGGTGAGGATTGTAAGTGGGTTTAATGCTGGGATTAGGATTAGGATTAGGATTAGGATTAGGGTATAATATAGTGGTTGGGCCAGTGTTGACGTTAGGAATTTGGTTGGTGAAGGAAATTACTGTGAAGCATTCGTCGCAGGAGCACGTGCCGTACATCCAAAGAAAAAGTTTGGTTGTGTTTAGTACAGTACAGAGCCAGTGGACCTAGAATTAAACTTGGCAACCTAAAAATAATTTAGCGCTCAGTAGCATATCTGCCTCTTATTGCGCAAAGTAATCCACAGTTTTACGGAAAAGGCAGGTGAGAAAAAAAAGTTATTTCTTGCTCGCACCTGTACGGTAGAACTCAGCCACGTAGTAGTTCACTTTAGAACACTTATTTTGTAGAGAAAGCGCACATTCGTTGCTATATTCGTGTATCACAGCTGATATGCTTGATAATGTTTTCTTATTGTATAGATGTAACCAGAAAAAGTCAATTTCATTGATTACCTTGATTAAAGTTCTTAATTTTAGAAATCATTAAAAAAGGATTCTTGTAGTGAAGTGGAAATTGTTCAAGATATCACTGGTACTTGTAGTGTTAAAGTGATATCGTGTTGCACTTCATTCTGTTTCATTGTGCAGCTGTATCGTAGTCAACATAAACAATCATCTTTGCTAGTGTCTTATCACTATTTTTTCTTTCTGTTTCCTCCTTTGTCACTAACTTATCTCTGTCTTGCCTCAATTTTGTGACAATGATTTCTTGGGTAACATTGTTTTGTGATTTTTTTTCTTCTTCATGCGAGGGAATGTTGCTTTCTTCGCAATTACTGTACATTTGTGATGAAATTAAACTTGTTTTCAATAAACTATATATTTCAAATTTATATTTTCTGTCATTTCTTTGGTTTTTTTTACTGTTGACCCCTACAAGCATTATCAGCTTTGTTAAGAGTTCTTGTCATGTATGTTCCTTTGATTGCATTGGCCAGTTTGGTCTGTATTTTGCTTACATGTATTCAGTTAAATCTGACCTTGGGTCTTAGATCGTGTTTAACAAAAGGAGACCTTGGACTTACTTTCATTATTGAACCCAATATTTAAAAAAAGGCTAAACCCCAGCATCAGGTTTAAATTTGAGTAAGAATATAGGTCTATGGGTTCCTGAAAAGTGTGATATTCTGTTCCAAAGACGTCAGCTGGTATGCACAAAGCGTTAGCAAAGATTGGAATCCTTAATGCATTGAGTCCACTCATTTATGGAGCATCATATATTTACCTCTTAATCTCCTAAAAACAACCATTATTCTGTAACCAAATAAACAAAAATCAAGTTTCATCATGAGCAAAGAAAAGGAACGTACTATAGATTTTTTGTCGTGGTAAATGTCGCAAGAATGAACAGAAAGCTGAAATCAGACAATTTAAGTGGAAGACAATTGAGATTTAAATGGCGTATTACCTGTATTTAGGCTTTTCATTTTTTTTTAAATGGCACTCGGAAAAAAAAAGAGAACCCTGCCTGCCACTCACGTACACAAGTATTTTTCAGCCACAAGCCCAATTTACCACAGAAACTAACAAACGCATCCGTTTGTTTCCTTTTGCAAATTTGAATTAGTATCACCAGTATGCCATTCATGTTTAATACACATTATGGGCATGTGCAAATAGAGTTTGTCAGTTTTTACTCGTGCGGTCTGTTGCTAATATCGAGTGTCAATGGAATAAGGCAGACTTCTTTCCGTATGATATGACTTGGCACAACCTACATGTCATATAAATACATGTATCGTTGTCTGAATTGCACAAAATTGTAGATTCTTAACGATGTGTGCTGGGATTTCAAGAGGAAACGTATTACAGAATGAAGTAGAATCTCAAATTAGTTGAGAGGACATTAGAAAGTTGTGGTCAAGACCACAATATGGCTGGCATGCACGGATAAAGCCATTAAATAAACAATCATTATAGACTGAACCCCCCCCCCCCCCCCCCAACCAACAAAAATGTACAATTCGAGGGTTCAGTGACACAAAGACGTAGCTCCATATTTTGCCAAAATGAGTATTTGATATCAAATTGCTCAGAAAAATGCGGGCTTTCCAGGAAACACAAAGACTTAACTCCACCCCATTGAAGTCAATGGCTAGTGAAACATAGACTTAAGGCCCAAACCACTTTTTCTATAAGTGGCCAAAATGGAGTTACGTCTTTGTGTCACTGACCCCTCAAATTGTTAATTGTAAAGACTTTTCTGTTAGCTGACAATGATATGCCTATATTGGGAGCTCGGTCTGATAAATTAAATTTCTCTGGGGCTAAACTTATACCACCTTAAGGCTCGCTCAGATATGCCAAAACCACAGCAGTTTTTTTTTTAATGACAAACTAAAGTGTAAGATCATAAGATGTTTCACATTTATGTATCTTATAAACAAGAGCTTGGTGAATACGCGCAAATCCTTTGTTTAGATCAGTCGTCATTCATTTACACGTTTCTGTTTAAAGATAAAGACCAGTTATGGTCATGCGATTGCATTGTGAAAGAAACGTTGTGAAATCGATCAGAAAAGGTTGATCATCTAGCATATAAGTATTGGTGTGTACTGCAATTAAGGTTCTGGAATCATCAAAATGATAAGAAATTTGACCCAGTCTTGATAAAGTTACAAGCACTGTACACAGAAAGACGTATATTGGACTACCCCCACACGTGCGTTATATCTATCAGGTCCAAA